ACAATAACAGAAAGGAATGGGCCCTATTTGGGGTGAGTCAGACTATACAGTCTGGCCGCTCTAAATGGCTGATGTTAAGGAGAATAACCTCTGACCTATTTTCGCTGCCTAATGAACAGTCATTCTCAAGCTAAGTCTGGCATATATTTTGGGGAGACAACTTAAGAGAAATCCTTCTGTTCCTCACACTTGACCAAAAAATAATGTTGGAAACGATCAAGAGACTTTGCAATGTGACAGCGTACAAGATAAAAATACAAAAATCAGTTCAATTCCTGCATATTTAGAGCTCTGAAAAGAATATCAAGAAAACAATACCACTTACAATAGCCACACAAAGGATGAGCTATTCAGAAATAAACCTAACCAGAGAAACAAAGGCTTACACACAGAAAACTACAGAACACGCCTACAAGAAACCCAAAGAGATCTATATGCTCTGTGCTCGTGGACAGAGCAAAGATAAAATGTGACAATGTCAACACCGCCCAAAGCAATCTAGATACACAACACAATTCTGATCCAGATCCCAACTTCTTTCTTTAAAGAAATGGAAAAATGAATTTCCAGCTTCGTAAGGAAAGGGGAGCCAGGCGAAGCAAAGAATAAGAACAAAGTAGGAAGTCTCTCCTTTCCTGACCTCAAATCGACTTCAATAGTCAAAACAGCTTGATACTGGTACAATGATGATGATAGATAGATAGATAGATAGATAGATAGATAGATAGATAGATAGATAGATAGACCAGTGTAACAGAGTAGAGAATCCAGAAATAGATACATCCACCTACAAACAACTGATCCTCAACAACAAAGGGCAAAACAAATTAATTAATTAATTGGGGAAGAGATAGTCTCTTCAACAAATGATGCTGGCAAAATTGGATTTTCATTAGCAAGATGATGAAACAGACCCCGATTTCACCCCATACACAAACAAACTCAAGATGGATTAAAGAGCTAAATGTAAATCCAGCACGAACAAGATAATCAAACATAAGGGCCTTGATATAAGGTATAAGCAGACATAACGTGGGGGGGTGGGTGGGGACAAAACACACACAGCAGAAGAAAAAAAGAGATAACTGGGGCCTACTGAAAATAAGACACTTATCCATGTGTATCAAAAGATTTCATCAAAGAGTAGCCAGACTGGAAAAATAATTTTGAAAACAACATATTGGACAAAATGTATAGAAAAGTGTAATACCTCAACAAGAAAAAGACAGATAATCCAATTAAAACGAGGACATGAACAGATAGGTCCCCAAATAAGATATGTGGATGGCCAACAAACATAAAGAAATGTTCACAATCACTAGCCATCTGAGATGCAAATCAAAACAATGACGAGATCCCATCTTACGCTGGCATTGACAGCAAAGTTAAAAAAAAACTGAAATAGCAAATGCTGGGGACAATGAGGAGAGACTGGAATCCTCACACAAATTTCCCAGGGACCTTTCTCATTCCCAAATCTTCTGTTAGAACTAGTTCGATAATCCAGATAACTTCCCCATCTCTTCAATGGTACCTTGTCAGTCTTCGAGCACAAGTGCATGAATTTTGTTGACATTTTCATACATTCGGGAAGTTTAAGGGCATCTAGAACACGGTTTGTCATCAATCGACATTTCACCTTTTTCGTAACTAGAAAACCATTCATACACTTCAGTTTTCCCCATAGCGCTATCCTTGTAAACTGTGTTCAACATCACAACAGTTTCTGTGGCATTTTCCCCAAGCAGGAAACAAAAATTTCACAACCTCATGCAGTTCTCTTAAATCAGCCATCACAAAAAAATGAGGTTCAAGCAAAACTGCTTTTACCATAAAATTCACTGTGACCAGTGAGAACTTTCCCAGGCAACACCACTGGGTGCACTAACTCAGAGCCAGTTGCTGGATGCTCACCTACTGGGGGGAAAGGAATACTATGAAAGCTCCGCCCAGCAGAGCTTTTTTCTGGGGGTGGGGTACAGATACCCCCTTGTATAGGTATCAGAAATGGCTTTATATCAAGAAGTAGTTGTGTATCAAGGTATCACCCCAGCCCTGTCCAACTAAAATCCAATGCTCATCCATCAGTCCCTCTTCAGACTTGCACAGCTATAGGCAATGATGCAGAATGCAGGGAGATCACAGGCCGGTGGGTGGAGAGCTGTGTGGATCCAAGGTCGGTGGCAATATGGCAGGGCTCCAGCTGCTCTCAGGGTTGCCAGCCAGCAGGACGATGAAGGGCAAAAGAGAGAGAGGGAAGACCACACCCCCAAGGAGACAGCGTCAGACTGTGACCTGATTGACAGGTTTAACTTCACTTCTATCCAGAAGTGCCTCGTTGAGATAAAAGTATTTGACTAGTGTGGTAGTTACATAATCTATTGTCAATCTGAGACATAAGAGTGGAGGGGTGGAGTCCAGCCTGTGAATCAGGTTGCAGCTTGGTGACCTCATTTGGAGGCACAAAGGTGATAAATAGCTCGCTGGAGGCGGGACACATGCTCACTCCCTGAGAGACACTAGAGCTACCCTAGAGACCTGGAGCTGAAGGCACCACATGGAGACCCCTGCCAATGCTGAGATGCCTCTACCGCCACTGGATCCACAAGACTTTCCACCCACTGGCCTGTGATCATCCTGCATTCAACATCTTTGTATGTGTTTTGTGAGTCTGAAGAGGCATTTATAGATTGGAATCAGACATATGGGCTAATACCAGACTTATGGACTTGATCTGGACTGGGCTGGGATGTTTTCTCAA